GGAAAAAACTAAATACTAATAAAAAGAATATTCTAAAGTTACCAAAACAATAATACACTCGTAAAAAGTATAGTTGTATTTAGTTGAATTTTGATTGTGAATTATTTATACAATCTAAAGCTAATATATTCTATTATGTCAACTCACTAGCACCCACCACTAGCTTAGAACATGATAGGAGTTTGGCTATCATAAGGAAAAAGTTGGTACATTTATGCCCTTTCCTTGACGGGAGTGATCCTCGAAGGCTGCCTTTGATTGATTTCAACCAAGCCTTCCTTTCTATCCAGAGCAACAACAGATGCCAATAACTTGTCCTTCTTGGAAGCAACACTAGCGAAAACCTCCATACTCCACTAATTCACCCGCATCCTCACATGCACAAATCCGTAATTGGCATGAACAACCGGTCTATGCTCAAACCACCAAGAACACACTTAACTCCCAAAAGTCATCCGCTTTCCACCACATATTCTCAAAATGGAAAGAGGCAAGGCAAATTGATGGTGAATTAAAATTACATGCTATTGGAACATTAGCTCAACCCACTCACCACATGTTGGTAAATGCTTCTTTTAGACCAAATATAATAAAAGGAAATAGAGACAAGACCATAATGCAGCCAAGTAAAACTTGATATTTCTTAGGTACTAATCCACATTGACAAAGGACTAACATGCAGACAACTTTGGTTCATCGAAGATACAACTATATTTTGTTTGACAAAAAATGGGAGCTAACTAGGAAGGTTGTGACCAAGACAAAGAAACAAAAATAAGAGTACTAAAAAAAATGGTCCAAATAAGAAATTAAAACATGCTTTAAATTGAAAATCACCAGTAATCAAAAGATTAGATCCTGGTTCAACCCGAAGAGTCAGATCCTCCACCAAAACATTACCAGTTGGAGTAACAACCTGGAAAGTGTATCAGACCATAAGAATTATGTAAGGGAATTATTTCAATACCATTTACTAATTCAGGGAATTTCAAGTACCTTAACACCAGAAAATTCAATGTGGTTAGCTTCACTAAAGCAATTCCTATTTCCATTTCTTTGAAGAGAAGATTTATCATCAGCACTTAGCTCTCTTGATACGACAACTAACTCATAAATGCGGTCAGCATAACCACTGTAAACAAAGTGAAAATCATACAACATAGAAATAAGAAGAACATATGTACAAGACATAATAGAGATTTCATATATGAAAAAAGCTTAAATACAACGAGCTCTCTCAAATGCAGAAAGATACACCATTTGATTTAGAATTATGTTTGTTTCTTTATCTGCCTCCATTCATTTTCCCATTAACTCTGCTGACTTTTAATGACTTAAGTAGAAAGTGAATACCTTCTACAGGATTGGATTAAAAGGAAAAGACCATTAATATATGGAATATAAGCAGATATTTTCTTGAATTTACTTTATAGAAGTAAAACAAAATTCCTCAATTCCGCATAAAGTCACAAACAACCTACTAGCATTACCTGAGCCGATTTAGCCGTCTTGAACTAATAGAGAGAGTACCCAGCGACTGAAACAGTGAAATTATGACACTAGTGTGATATCTCAGATTGCTTAACATCTCTGCACGTCCTAAAGTTGAAGTGTCAGGTCTAAGATGCCCAGCAAAGAAGGGCTCAATGATCAAAATAACAGCAACAGTAGCACCAAGATATTTCAATAAGAAATCTTGGATCATGCCAAACCACCAATGATCATGAAGAACCACACTCAAGTGTTTAATCAAAGCTTTAAATTTTTGTTGAATGTGAGACTCTTCTCTATTTTCTCCACCATAAAATGCAATACTTCCGCG